GGGGGCAAAGATCACACTTGAACGGCCTGTCATAAAGTGGCAGGCGAGAATAATAAGATTTCGGCGGCCCACTGTACGAATACGTTGGCGTTGTTGGTGACACGATCTCCGGAGACGAAGAGACCGACATATTCTGAGGAATTGTAATTGTTGTGGCCGTCGGCGAGGTCCACACTGTCGGCGAAGGATTATTTGACTCAAACATCGGCAAGTGCATGGTACTCTCATCGTGACCATTGTCGTTATTGGTGGCATTTAGCACCTGGGTAATGGTCGGCGTGAGTAACTGTTGAGCGATCGAACTGTTTACTGGAGAAGACGCTGTAGAGCTCGGTCGAGAAAACGAATCCACAGGACTTGGTGGGAGGCTCGTGTTGATCACCGGGACCTGTTTCCGATGGTAGTGGTTTGAAGGATGCTGACGTAGAGAAGATATCTCGCCGGAATAGATCAACCTTTGAGAGAAATAGGGATGACCAGGAACGTTGTTGTAATTATTATAATTGGGATTCTCTTGGGTTAGCCGGAAATTGTCGGCGAGCAATTGAGAACTTCTCGACGAAGGATGGTGTGATTCATGGGGTTGATAATTTTGCTGAGCGGCAATAGTGACCACACCAACAGAGTTCATGTAACCACGAGAGTCAACGGAGCCATTTACAGGGGAAGAGGACAAGGTAGGATGAGAGGTCATTAGGGAAGTGAAGAAAGGTGCGGGAATTTCAAAATAGTTCACCGAGGGTTCGACAAACGGAGGCGATGGAATTGTTTGCTGAGCCTCAACCGGAGAGTATTGATGCTGATAGGGCATTTCGTTAAACTGTCGCTGGTGAGGAAGATGGAGTTGTGAGTGAGGAAGATCTGATTGTTGTTGAGACTGAACCTGCGGGGTCTGTTGAAACATGGCGAACAGCTGATGTATGTCGGAATCGAAAAATTGTTCGTCCGAAAAATCAAAAATACAAAACGGTGTTTGGTTCAAGTCGAAGGTTTGAGGATAAGTTTGGTTCGTGATGGTAGGCGTGAGGTTAAATTGAGCAGGATCGTGAGGACAATCAAGACGTTGGTCCAAACTCACAGATGGTGCGACATCAATCATGTTGAATTGGGAAGAGTGGAAATTTAAGCACTTTTATGCGCAGGTGAAGACTCTGATCCGAACAATAATCACTCAATAATCGTAAATCGGTTTAATTGGCATGAGAATAGGGGAATGGTAGGTGGCATACAAAAGGTCCCCGCCTTACTTTTTTTATTAGAGTCAGACACCCCGTTAAAAGAAAGCAAACAGGTCTATTTATATATAAAGTTCCATCAGTTTATTATATGTGTACGAGTTGTATAGACAATGTTGTGAATTGAATGAACAACAAAACTGATATTTTTATAATGACATATAATTTGACAGCCCGAGCCGACTATACACGCATATAATGAATGTTTCAGTAACGAATGCATAAATAAATAAATATCGTAATATAAATAAAAGAATATATATATATATATATATATATACATATACAGTATATATACATTGTATATACTATATATACAACATACGATATTGAACTCGGGTAAGGAATTTTTTTTACCAGGAAAAAAAATTTTTTGTTCCTATGACCAGAAAAACCTTGGTACTGTGACAAAATTGATGACCATTTGTTATCATATTGTCCGAGGGAAATGGCCGATATACCGACATGCGCGAAAAAAAAAAAAAAAGAAAAAAAGAAAAAAGAAAATAAAAAAAAAATTCTTTTCAACCCTCTTTCATGCATATGACCGTCAACATATTCGGAATAGTGTTCGCATCAACAACCGAAATATTTGTTGCGCATAAGGTTAATATAAAGCCAAACGTACATCCAATAGGATGTAAATACGAACATCGCAGTTCCTTGCGCCATCGAGAGACCACTGCATTCTTTTCTAGGTGCGGTTTTTGCGCATACCGTAATAAAAGGAAATATCGTGTTGCGAGCTCCTAAGCCTGAATTAGTATCAAAACAAAAAAATGAGGAGATTTTTTCTTTAAATAATGACTTACGAATTCGGACATGTACAAGAATTCCGTTTGTGTTTGTTACATAATGGATTATCTAAGTCATGCCCTATTGTATTTATGAATTTCGTGTAACCACGATCAAAAACGCGTCTCCTCTGGAAGAAATGATTGTGCGTAGCAAATAATGTACAATGGTGAAATTAAAGGACAATATGAATTGTAAGTTTTCCGGAGACAAAACAATTGATCGAAATGGAAAATGATTTAGATTGGTACTTGCTTCTTACCAGCATATCAAGTTTATCTTGCATAAAAGGTTCATTATAAATGGGCTCGCTTCTTCTTAAACACATTAATAATATTCATTTCGCATATGTCCATGTACAGTAAATACTCTGCATAAACCAAAACAGTGGTATTCCTCAGGGTAATGTACAAGTGTGGCATGCGGGAGTTCCTTCTTTCAACCATGACGTAAATCAACTTTATTTCACCAATTTAGTCAACAATGAATAAGCTCGTGCCCGCAAAAACTATTTATCATCTGCCGGTGTTGGTGTCTCGAAGCTGCTGTTACACCAATAATGATGACTCCACCGCGAGAGACAAGTTCATACTCACCAATTGACAACGCCATATCATCATATGATTTATACAAAACAATAAATAAATATTGCAATAACCAATAATACACGGCGTTGATCATTTGATTTTTTTAAATTTAAAATATTCAAAATCAATTTTAAAAATCCTTGCTTTAATTATCTATATATAAAAAAGCTTTCAGAATAAAATGATAATTATTTTAAAATAATACTTTTACAATACAATCAAAAAATATTCCATTTACAATGATCTAATCTTTTATTGATTTATTGATATTTAAAATTTTAATTCACTTGAAATTCATTCTAAAAATAATTACAATACATTACTTATTATTTGAAAAACACATTTGAAAATTTTTTATTATTTCTAAAATTAAATTTTATTTGTTGCAACTAAAAACTATTTATAAAAAATTTTTTTATTAATACTTAATTGTTATAATAATTATAATTTTTATAATAATCATTTATTTATTTTAAAATTCAAATTATTTTATTATATTATGATGGCTTATCTTTATTGAAAAATTGAAGTGAATTTACAATATTTTACAGACTTTTACAAAGTGACTAACTCATCTTTATATAAAAGTACTCTAAGTCAAATTTTGGGGACAATATTTCACTTCTCTAATAAATTGGTAATAACCTCTATCTACTAGAATCATTGCCAACAGTTTGTCACTGTTGATTGCCTGAAAACTAATGAATTGCTAAGTTAAAAAAGGGAAAGGGAAAAAATGATTGAGAAAAGGAAACAATTCAAGGCCCATCAAAAAATCCAAAAATAAAAACAATCTCTTTTCAAAAGGGATTTACCTGATTGAAATAGTCTTCTTGCTTCACTTGAACCTTGAAAGAAATCTTCTTTTTCACCACCTGTGATATTGAATGAGTCAATTCAACTGGTCTTTCATTTAAGTGAGTACCAGATTGGAATATCTCAAGAAAAGCATTTAGACCTCAGCTTTTTTCCATTAAAGTTTTGTTACCACTTGAGGAACTTAGGTAAGAGATAGAAGTTTGCAATCCACATTACCCATCACTTAATCTTTGGATGGCATAAAAGTTTTCATTAAGAAACTTAAGCTTTTTGGGGGTGAACGTTTCCAGAATCTTCTTTTCAATTACCAATGATATTATCGGAACACATGAATGTGATCAATAAGAGCTTGTATATATTCTAAAAACTAATGATTCATGTTAGCCAATTACCTTTGGTGAGGAT